GGTTTAAAAAAAAAAAAAAAAAAAAAAAAGGGTAGCATGTGTTATAGTCTTTTGGCACTTGATTAAAATTCCAAGAGTATTTACGCGAATTATCTAAATAGATGGCACTTGAATACCCTATTGTCTTGCCACTTTACAGTTAAATACCCTAAACTTTAAAAAGCAACAAATTGTAAAAAAAGTAGTATTTTGATCCCCTAGTCGTAAAAAAATGGCACACTAGAATTTTTTGTTAGTTGTACGTATGAATATTTCTAGGGATATTCCCATGTGATTGGCACGTGAGATCTTATAATCGCATTGATCCATTTTTGATCTTATTTACCACTATACCCGTCCTTTTTGTTTTATTAATTTCTATGGAGGGATATTTTTGTCATAAGGGATTTTTTAACGGCGTTTACCATATTCTAATGGTCGATAATTCAGGGTATTTATGTGCTTCTTTTTACAACGTAGGAAGTGTAAATGTGGTGAAACAATACGGTATTGAAGTGTCATTTTGCCTATAAAATGCATATCAGGTGGAGTGTGTTTAAAAATTACGGTGTCGACGTGTCAAATAACAACATCCTGGTCTATGTATACTCTTTTGGGCTAATTGATTACGGCGCTTTTCTGCAAAAGCCAATGGGGTTTGATGTGCTTTTGAAAGTTATTGGCGTTTACTGCAACATAATGAAAGGGTTTGGGGGTTTAGTGTAAGTTACCCAATAATTAAAACTATCAAGTCTTAGCGCTGAAACACACGGCGCGTGATGGTACCAGATAGATAAAGACTTCTTAAGGAGCACCGAAACTATCCTAACCGATAAAGCGCGCTAGGGCTTTTTTCCAATTCTCCCAGCCAAGGGTTTATCCATAAATTCCAAAATCTCTCAAATTTATCAACTTTCTCACCCAATCTGTACGTGATGCGATCCCTATTTCCCGTTACAATTCCTCATTTCTTATTCTCGCTCAATCTGAAAATGGTTCCCAAAATTGTTTAGTCGCAGTTTATAATTGATGGCGACTTCACAGCAAATTGGATCGCGATTGGCGATGAGTAAGGGAGTTCCGAGCTTCGGTGGGCTTGGATCCTCACCGTCGACGTTTAGGGTTTCTCCCGCAATTGGATCGTTGGGACCTGGAATCGATCGGAGGAGGTTCAGGGGACTGGCTATTAAGGCTGCCACTGTGGTCGCCCCTACGGTATAAATGCCAACTATTTCCCAAAAAAAATTCATTTTTCTTTATTTGGAGGGAAATGTTGGTTTTTTTAGAATTTACTTGGGCCTGTTTGGATTCGTAAGGGGTGAAGGGAAGTTAAGGGAAACTGAGTGAAGGGAAGGGAAGGGAATTCTTTTTTCCTTGGTTACACCCTAATTTGGAGGTAACAATTTTTATACTATTAGGGGGTGAACCAAGGTGAATGGAGGTGAATTAACTTCACCTCCTAAGTGTTCCCAAACAAAGTGAATGGAGGTGAATGGTTCCCCTAACTTCCCTTCACCCTCATTCCCCTCAATCCAAACAAGCCCTTAGGATTCAGTCGAGTAATTTGCTCTAAATTTGAGCTTTTATGTACTGCAACTATCCAGAAGTGGTTGCGTTTTTTTGGGAGGTGGAGAAAGAGAGGAGTAGTCTAGAGGCCCCTAAGTTTTACTTCCTTTTTTTAAAAAGGCCCTATGGTTTTATTTTTGACATAGAAGCTCCTAAGTTTTATGGCTCTTCTCTACGAAGCCCTCAACATTCTTTTTTTCACAATAAAGCCCCCAAGTTCTACCCTTTTCTTCTACAATGTCCTTAAGTTTTAACATTCTCTTCTACAAAGCCCTCAAAGTCTTGGGAGCTCGCCAGAAGCTTGCGGTCGTGGAGAGGCTTGGGAGCTCGCCAGAAGCTTCGAACCTCGCCTGTGTGATCACGAGCTCGCTTGCTCGTGATGTGTTCGCTCGCGCCTCTTGTGCCAGTGGATGCCGGCTAATGCTAGCTGGATCGGAGGTCTAGGGTTTCTTCAGGCCCGCAGGCGACCCACAATAGGCGAGCCCCATCTCCACACCAGGCGAGCCCTCGCCCTCGCCTGCATGCGAGCTTCACGTCTCTTGTGCGAGTGGATGCCAGCTAATGCCAGCTGGATCGGAGGTCTAGGGTTTCCCTATAAAAGGGAAACCCTATTTACGAGAGGGGTTTGAGTGGAGCTGTGAAATTTTCAGCGGCGGTGGTTTTATTCTCTCTGCGATTTTATACCCAAATTTGTCCTGTTCTTATTAACTAAAGAGAAGGGGGTTGGTGAATTATAAAGGGGGTAATTAAGAGAGAGTTATTTGAAGAGAGCAAGGTTTTAAATATCGGTCGATAATCCGATATTATCTCCGAGTTATCGGTTTTGGGAGCTTTCTGATAGGATAAGTTAGAATTTAAATCAGTTATCTTTTTTGGGGTTTATCGGCAATAATGCGGCGATAAAGGTGATTATCGGCCGATATTAGCGGTTCTAAAAATCGGAATTATCGGGCCACGCTATATGGTTGTGATTTTGGGTAATGAGTAGTTTTTTAGTGAACTTGAAATCCGACACGATCCGTTCTTTACAATAAAACTTAAAGTCGATTAAGTAGCCCTAATCATCCGTTGTCTCTCCCCTCATTTGTGTGGCTGTGCCCACTGCCCTAATCCTCTGATCTCCATTTCTCTTTGGACTTCGTCGACCTTGACGCTCGCCTCGCCGACTTCGATGCTCGCCTCCGCTCCTCTTCGGACTCCGCTGACCTCAACGCTATCAACTTCGACCATTCGACGCTGCTTTCTCATCGACATTAACTTCATCGATTTGACGACTTCGACTGATGTTGTGCTCTCTCTATCGACGTCATCATCAACTGATCTGATTGACTTGACGACGTTGACCGACGCTGAGCTCTCCATCGATGCCGAGCTCTCTCCATCGATGTCGAGCTCTCTCCATCGACACCATCATCAACTGTGACTTCGACAATATGACTTGGACTCTCCATCGACGTCACGCCCTCAACACAACTTCTAAAGTTGTAGCAACAAATAATATTCACTATTCAGTTGGTTTTTCTCTAGTTATTTAGTGAGGTTGAGAGAATGAAAGAGGGGAGTATGGTTAGATTACAATTTGGGGTATTATATTATATATATACATCATATGGTATATCACTCTGATAAATACTACTTATCCCCGATATATCTCCGATTTTTGCTATCCGATAAGGATTTTGACTGTCCGAAAAATCACCGATAACCGATATTTAAGACCTTGGAAGAGAGTTTGAGCGGTGATTTGGGTGAGGCGAAGCGCATTTTAGGGATGAAGATCGGCAGAGACAAGAAGAATGACAGAATTTGTTTGACACAGGTGGCTTATTTGAAGAAAGTTCTACAACGATTTCATGTTAGCATGGATACGAAGCCAGTTAGTGTACCATTGGGAGCCCATTTGAAACTTTTAGCTGATCTTTCACAGATAACAGTTGAAGATCGAGAGTTGATGTCGAAGACTCCATATGCGAGCGCGGTTAGGAGCTTGATGTACGTGATGGTATGTACGAGATCAGATTTGTCACAGGCGATGAGCATGGTTTCGAGATACATGCACGATTCAGGAGTGGGTCAATGGGACGCCGTGGGATGGATTTTGAGGTACATTTGAGGTACGCTCAATATTGGTATGATTTATGAGCGGGACACTACAAGTGGGCAGTTATGTATTGGCTACGTTAATTCGGATTATGCTGGAGATTTGGATAAGCGCCGGTCTACGACGGGATATGTGTTCACTTTGATCCGTACGTCGGTGTGTTAGAGATGCACCTTACAGTCTACGGTGACTTTGTCTACGATGGAGGCAGAGTATATGACGATTACGGAGGCTGTGAAGGAGGTTATTTGGTTTCGAGAACTTTTGGAGGAACTTGGTATATCACAGCGGTTCGTCACTATTCATTGTAATAGTATGAGTGTTATTTATTTGGTGAAGAATCAGGTTTTTCATGCGAGAATGAAACACATTGACGTTCGTTATCACTTCGTCCAGATGTTCTTGAAGATGGAGATGTAGAGATAGTGAAGGTCCACACGAAGGATAATCCGACGGATATGCTCACAAAGATGGTTCCGAGCAACAAGTTTGATCATTGTTAAAAATTGTTACACATTTATAATTATTGAGGCCGTTGACGACCATTTGGCAGAACTACGATTAGCTTGATCTCAGTCAGAGGGTACGTAGGCAGCCATAGTATAATGGTGTAGCTATTTTGGGCCTGGTTTGGCTCTTGCGGTGTTCTTCTGGTGTTCGTCCAAAATTTGAGGCTTATTAAATGATGAACGATGTGGAGAATTGAAGAAGAACGTACCTGGTGGAGCTCGCCTGAAGCGCGGGCATGGAGAGGCGTGAAGCTCGACTGCAGGCAAGGGCGAGGGCGAGGGCTCGCCTGGTGTGGAGATGGGGCTCGCCTATTGTGGGTCGCCTGGCCTGTGTGATCACGAGCTCGCTTACTCGTGATGTGTTCGCCCGCGCCTCTTGTGCGAGTGGATGCCAGCTGGATCGGAGGTCTAGGGTTTCCCTATAAAAGGGAAACTCTATTCACGAGAGGGGTTTGAGCGGAGTTGTGAAATTTTCAGCGACGGTGGTTTTATTCTCTCTGCGATTTTATCCCCAAATTTGTCCTATTCTTATTAACTAAGGAGAAGGGGGTTGGTGAATTATAAAGGGGGTAATTAAGAGAGAGTTATTTGAAGAGTGTTTGAGCGGTGATTTTATATTAAAATCACCTGCTATTTGATTGAGAGATCTCAAGATTGAGATCTTCTTTCTTATTTGTAACTTCTTACGATTAATAAGA